AATTATAAACATTCCTTCCCATATGTTCGGGGGTAAGCAACTAGTCAGCTCTGCCTCCCTCTTCATTAAGTACAAGCTGGTGGGCCTAATCTCCCAAATCCACCAGCACAAGCACCTCCCTTGGGCTAGATGTTGTCCAGCCCCATCTCATGGGAATTTGTGAATAGCCCAGAGAACTCTGGAGCATTTCCAGGTTTCATCAAAGAAAAATGGAGAGTTGTGGGAAGGCGAAAAGGTGGAAAAGAGGAATTGTGAGGCAATGGGATATCATCTGGCCCCTGAAACAAGTAGGAAAGGGAACAATACAGCTAATCTTCCCCTGAAGATCTTGGAACAGGTGGAAGACTACTAGATTCCCCCACACACACACACCTCAGTTCCCATGCTGCAAGGTACCAGCAATAGGAAGATCTTGTCTTTTGATGGAGGGGATTACAGGAAGAGGATCATGTAGATAGTGGCGAATGGGTCAAAAGATATGGAGAGAATGGGGCTGCAGAGGTTTGAATAAGAGATTAGCATCCAAAGTTGTAGATGTTTGTGGAATCTGAACCGAAGCTGAATTCTCAAACTCTGTACGGGATTCAATACCTATCATCCCAGGCAGCCCCCACTGTGATAAAACTCCAGATGGATTTACAATTGGTCTCTACTGCCTGCCCATCTCGTGGGTGACAACACTCTCTGCAAAACTGCACCACCTACATTTGTTCCCTCAGGGAGGGAATCTGGCCCAGGATTCTCAGAATTCTTATTTCATTTCTGAACACTATGCTGGTCTGGAAAGCATTTGATTGTTCTGTAATCTGATTGCTCAATTGGTATGAGTGAGTAGGAAGGCTTATTTAACTTGGCCCTTTGGGAATGCTGTACTGATTTTACAGAGGGCAGGTTTCAGAACTCAGCAATGCATAAATACATAGAGAGGCGGAAGGGAGAGGGTATTTTTTTCCCCATGTCTGCAACAAAATAACTTTATTAGAAATAGTTAACAGCTCCTCAAAAAATAATCTGAAAATAATAGTTTCTAGCCATAGAAGTCATTCATTTTCTGCTAAAGTGAGTAGTAGGGCAGAAAGTCTGACACTTTATTACATTTTGTTCAGCATTGTGGTTTTCATCATTTCTTTGAAATCCACAGCTTTCACGTACAGTTCATTAACACTGATCAGAGAGCACATCTTTCCAATAAGTCAATTTTTGCCATGTAATCTTTAGTAGATGTTTTACTTCATGTAATTTGTTGAATAATCTTTATCTTGAAATCACATATTAATGTGTGGTTATGGTCATTTATACATTACCACTTCTCTGACATCTTGGTGTTCTATATTTATTCTATCCCATTGACATCCATAGTAGCGTTCTCACTTTACAAGTCAAAACAAGATTTTTATAACTGCCAACATTGTACTCTTAACCTGGCGTCTGAAAAATAAGCTGTCTTTCTGCACTGTCTGTCTCAGTTTTAATGCAGTGTTTCTTAATAGCGTAGAGGCCTAATTTTCAAAATGATCTTCTAAATTTGCACTCACAACATTTCATGTGCAAATTTACTAATGGCCATTTATTTGTACATGTTCAGGGTTAGCTGGATGCACAGTTTCTGATTTCCATGTCATAATTAAGGTTTTGCACACAAAAATTGCAGCTGTACATTTGTCTCTATATGTAGCCCTGAGTCAGCACTGCTTCCCTGTTCAAGGCAGCACTTAAACACATTCTTAAGTTTAAGCATATGATTTCAGTCAAGCTTAAGGATTTTCTTATGTGCTATCCTGAACTGAGGTCCTTGTTAATTCAAATAAAAAAAATATGTAGGTCAGTTGAGATAGGGATAAATATGACATGCTGGCATCTGGGTAGCAGATGATAAAAGAAAATAGTGAGACACACAAAATAAAACTGAACTGATGTTTCTTGTCTTGCCATAACTTCAGTGTGCATGGCCAAGTTCCATTCCTTGCTTTCAATAGGCCAAATTCTGATACACGTACTCCACAAATACTTCCACTGAAAACAACAGGACTATATGGGCAATACATGGGGGGGAGGGATAGCTCAGTGGTTTGAGCATTGGCCTGCTAAAATCCAGGGTTGTGAGTTCAATCCTTGAGAAGACCACTTAGGGATCTGGAGAACAGTATTATACATCAACATGAGCAAGGACATTGGAATCTGGCCCATATTGTCTGGAAACATCCCTGGGATGGATTCTCTTCTCACTTACACCATTTATATACCAGTGTCACTCCATTGACACCAGTGGGTGAGGGAAAGCAGACCCCATGGATAGAACATCGAGGCAAAAGGAATGTATGAAGTATGTGCAAAATTCAAGAATTATTAGAGAACAGAAAAATCACCCATTTTTAAGTGGCAGCATTTGTTGATAGAACGGACTCCGTGTGTATGCACATGAAAGAGAGAGACACAAAGAGACACACACACACTTGCTGGAAAATCTATTTTGATTTTTCCCTGATGGCTTTTGTTTTGTTTTTTCATAAATTAGCTACAGCCTTAGTAGTAAGGAATCAACAGTTTTATGTTTTCTAATAAACATACCAGTTGCAGATTACATGATATATATTTTAACAGTATAATAATCAAAAGAGGTTACAAGGGCTTCACAATTACAATTTTAAAATGTAGTTACAAATAATGGTGTTTATGTGCCAATTTAGGATGAAGCTTCAATTCTCTGTTTTGTCAATGGTAGAAACATATGCATTTTTGAAAGGTTGCCTAACATTAATATTTCTACCTGATTCATGTGAATTTGTGCATCTGTAAAAAATATATGATAAAAAGACTGACTATAGACTTACTTTAGAACCAGTAAAGTCTATCAGCTCCTCTAACTGCTTGCATTGTTTAAAAAAATTTGGTATTTTTTTTCTTGGCATTCAGACTTGTAGTTATGTCTAATAGCCCTATATACAAGAAGAAATACAGGGAAAGGATAGTACAGCGATTGCTCAGTAGCACCTGTTATAGTTAAGGTTACAAAACACCTTTAGTCATAATCCCATTTTCCCATGCTTGTAACATTCTGAAATATTCACCTTTTAAGCTGAAAATTTCCATGCTTGGTCTCTGCCTCAAGGTGATTTTTTTAAGTTTGAGCAAAATATTTCCAGTTATTTTTGAGCTTGGACAGGATGAAAAAACAACAACAACCATCTTCTTCACAAAAATGGCTTAAGTCTGAAACTTTAAAGTTGTCATGGACATATTATATATTATTGGAGATGAGGAGAAACCTATTAGATGAACCAATTGTCTCTCTGAAAATGCAGTGTTGTTCTTATGAGTACAATTTGTAGATCTAGGTGCCAGCAGCCCCTGTTTGGATGGGACAGGCCTGAGTTTTAAATATTGGTCCCAGAGACTGGAGTCCCAGCCAATAGCTCAACTAGGGTGGCTTCCTCACTCCTTTTTTCCCCTTTTCCAGAGGAAGTCCTAGTCCACCAGCCATGCAGCCGGGAACCTCATATAAAGAATTAGTTTCTCTTCTTTCCAGCAACACTGACTCTTTAAATCAAGGGGAAAGAGAGAGAACAGAGCAGCCCAATAATTGGTGCTGCTAGGCATTTAGGTGGGAGCTGAGCTCCTTTGAAAATCTGCATCTTAATGTTTTAGTCATTCCCTGGGCTAGCAGATGGTTGAGTGCTTCAGTTCCTTGTGGAGAGGGCAATGTTTTCTTTCATTCTTCAATGCTTCTCTTGCTGGTCAAGGAACAACAATGCTAAGATGTGACAGAAGTCCATTTCAGTCCTCCTGGGACCAAGAGAAGGTTTCCCACATAGATCTTGAAGGAAAGAAGTGAAAAGTAGGAGCATGGAAAACAGAGTGATCTCCACTGTCCTTGATTGAAGACCCTGCAATAATATCACCACCAAGAAAATAATACATGTTGATTTTAAAAAACATTAGGTCAATATGTCCTCTGTTTATAATGTATTCCTACATTGTAACAAGGCAAAATATAAATCCACTATATAGTAGAATTGTTTTCCTTGAAAACCTTCTTTTGGGAACAGGGTTGATTTTCGTTGGCCACCTATCTTTGCATCAGCTGGAAGTGGTATTGCAGCAGCTCTGCCTCAGTTTCACCAGTGCCTTTTCTGGCCATAGGATTGACCTGACCCTGCAGCCAAGCCACATAACACGGATCAGCTGCTTTCAGGGCCGCAGAGTAATGTCCAAGAGAAAATATCAAAACAACCAAATGTTCAGTCCAGCTGGACTCAGCTGTTAACCTCCTTCTTTTCAGGCCAGATCCTGCTGCAAAAACTGAACAAAAAGCCAACCCAAGGGCCTGGGTTCAACTTCACTGCTCAGTGGTACACTTCTCCCCTACACAGAGTTTCAGGAAGGCTGAAGTCCCTGATTATCTCTTGTCTCCAGCTAGGCTCCTTACCCCCCATAAGACAGCCTACCTGCTCTGCTTCCCTAACCAATCTTCAACTGCTGGGCTTCTCCCTTTCTAAACTCTCATTTCAAGCTTATCAGCCAACCCAAAAGTAATAGTGTGTGGCTAATTAAGCCTCAGGCTGCTGGTTAATCCTTTCCAGTCGGGGATGGGGGTTGCATGCCTCATCACAGATGTCATTATCCTTAAGGCTTGAAAAGTGGTGCTTCTATTGAAACCTAAGCTGGAGGGTGGTAGCATGATCCAGTGGACAGGGCAATAGGCCGGGTGTTAGGATAACTTATCTGCCACTGATCTGCTGGGTGACTGTAAATTGGGGGAAACCATTATAGAAGAGCTAGGTGTTATTAAAGCTGAGGTGCATTTACTCTCTTGTGAATCTCTGATAACTGCACTGACCTCAGTAGAGTTATCCTGAATTCAAACAAGTATTAATGAACTAAATGAAAGTCTGTTATTTTTTATTTGGGAAACATTGGGAGGAACAAGCAATCAAACTGTTTGCACAAGATATGTAAAAAGAAATATGAAAATAAAGATTTAAATCACCACCCAGATTTTCTTCAAATAGAGAAACTTGCATTAGATATGTAATTATATTTTTGTTAGACTCCTTATGATTCAACAGTTACATGTTGCTTTTATACACATGAAATTTACAAGAAATATTTCTTTACAAGATCCATTATGATCAATTCTTCCTAAACATATTGGAAATATTTATATCTTAGAAACTCCTTGGCTATTGAGAAAACACTTTTTATTACAGTTTTTCAGCTTGCTCAAGAGGTTGGAGCCTCCTCAAATGTGTAACCGTATTATAAATAAAATAGAGTAGTGGCATGTTCTAGCTATCTAGCATTGAGAGACTGGGGAAAATACTGGAGAAAAGATGTACAGAGATTTGTGTTTGTCATAAATGTTGGGACCAGTTTTGAATTCCAGTCTTAACACTCTAGTACTTGTAAATCAATCTGAAACAACAACCAAAAAACCCTCAACCCTGAAAGAAGCAAACCAGCTGGAAAAGGGACTCTGGGATGTGAAGACCAGACCTTTTCTATTATTCAGAGAATAAAGATGAGGAAGAAAAAAAAATACTGCAAATATTTATCAGAAAAAGAGAAAACCCAGGAGTGACAATAGTTCTTCTCTTGTTCTTTCTTTGGAGGAGACAAGTAAGAATAAATAAATATAGTGCAGAATCTAACTAAAACGTCCATTTATTTTTTATGGCAAAATACCACTTTAAAAGTTAACTTTTAGTATGTTTGTCAGTCCCAATATAACCATGTCAATAGGCTCTGTAAGAAATACAGCCCAGACTAGACAAGAATTTTTAAGGAAGACATGGATATTTTAAAGAGTTTCTCCTTCAAATAAAATACAAGTCTCCTATATTTTGGCCTGGTGGTTCTCAGCTTGTAAGCTAGTTTATAAACAAAAAAACTAAATAGCTGGCTCCAAAACCTACTAGCCAGCCCATTATATTTGTCCTTGAGCCTATGATAGCTTTCCCAGTAAGGGAAAAATGGCTTTGGTTGATGTATTACCAGTTCATTAACAAACTAGGAGGAAAGAGGTAGAGTCTCTTGTCAAATATTATTCAACCAGCACAAGTACTATTAACAATTACTTTATTTGATGAATGTTGTGATTTTTTCAGACTAATTATTCAACATTCTTTGTCTTGTCTGGCTCTGAAGAATACTAAAGGGACAGGTCTGGAACAAACTTAACGTGACCATGTAGGAGATTAAAGCCCCCCCCCCCCAATCTATTTCTGTTAAAAATGCTGTTTCATCAAAATCATAATGTTCTGAGGAGACGGGTCAGCTTCAATGAAAGCTTAATCATGTTTCTCATGTCCAGGATGGAATTTCTGGTCAAAATTGATCCCCAATTCAAGAATAATCAAGTGGTTAGGGCATTCATCTGGGATGTGAGATATCCAGGTTCAAGTCCCTTCTCCAAATCCGGCAGTTGAGTGAGTGCCCCAACCCAGGGCCGGCGCAACCCATTAGGCGACCTAGATGGTCACCTAGGGCGCTACAATTTGGGGGGTGGCAACCACCGCAGTATTTCGGCGGCGGGACCTTCCGCTGCCTCTGTGGGGGGTGCTTTTTGGGGTGGGACCATCCGCCGCCTAGGGCAGCAGAAAAGCTGGCAGCGCTCCTGCCCCGACCATCATGATATTGGCTATTCCGGGGCAGATGGGCTGGTCTCTCACATTTTTCACAAAATGAATTTCAAAAGGTCTTGCTCTTGTTCTGATGCATAAAGAAAACAAATGGAGTTCTTGTTTTCTGGCCATCCCCAATTATGATTGCTCATGTTACAGGTACAAGTTCTGTTGGGAGCACAGCCTCAGAACAGCTACTGCTGCCTCACCATGAGCAAATGGGTAAAGAAAAGGTCTGTGGAGCAGTGAGGGATTACATCCATTCCCTCTCCAATGCACCATCCAACAGAGCTGGCTGGAAGCAAGAAAGGGAAGTAAGATGTACCATTTGTGGCTGCAGTAAATTTCTTCCCCCTTGGAGCAGGAGACAAGCAGAAAAGAAATTGTGACTCACCAAGCCACAACTCCTTGCTCCTGGGGTGGCACACCTGCATCCCCCGACTTATTGACAACTGAACCTAATCACCCATAGGTCTTTTCATCCTAGGATCTTAAAAAGCTTGACATTCAATACTCATGGGAAGTAAAACACTGATTACTGACCCCAAGATAAAGCCAGTAACAGATGTGTTCATGCTCAGATCCTCAGCTGCAGCCACGGATCACTTAGCTGTGGAGGTGCACAGAGCAGCCCCTACTAGTGGATTGATGCCCAGGTCTCCTAGCCAAAACTGCTGTGCTCTCAGCATTAGATCACACTCTCGGGGGGCACAAAACTGGGTCTCTATATGAAGCGGGCTGAAAATGAAATTTTGCTGGGGTGCCTTCTTACTGCTATGCTATTATTATTTGTACTGTAGCAGAGCCTAGAGGCCCCAGTCTGTACTATGCACTGCCCACAACACACGCACCTTGTTATCATAATATTTATTTGTACTATGAGTTAGGAATTAAAACACATGAGCTTCATTTACTTACTAATTTCATTAGGCTTGCAAAGAATTCATGAAATAAGACACCCGACTTTAGTAAATCCACAGACATATACAGGGGCATGCTGGAAAATAAAATAAAGATACTGGGATTTAGTTTCAGTCTTTCTATTCAATATATTGTGTGCCATCAGGCATTAGCTTTTATTGCACACAGAAGTCTCTTTAGAACATTGCCTATATATTTCTTGCAAATGGGAGACAGCTCCTCCTTGGTTATTATTTTATTGCTATAGTGCCAGAAATATACACCGTATACAGCAGCACATGCTGCTTCAATAGCTTTGTTGCTTTTAGTTTTCTCACAATTTCTTCAATTCACTCTCAAGAGAATTCACCCTTCTATTTGCTTCTGATCACAAAAAGTCTTTGATAGTCAAGGTGCTAAACACCTGATCATTTTTTCAATGAAGCAACTTTTTGCATGTTTTCACTTGTCCTTGCCACCATTTAATTCATATTGAAAATTAAATCCTGTATCAAGCTGCTTTCCAGAAGGGATTTCTTTTTCTTTCTTTCCTACTTTATTGTTTATCAGGGCCTGATCCAAAAACCACTGAACTCAATGTGAATCTTTCTGGTGACTTCAGTTGACTTTGGACCATGTGATTGAAAGGGCAAATCCTCCAGGACACGATGTAAGGAGTGACAGATGCCCCACTCTCAACAGAACCAATTCAGTTCTACTACAATAGAAGGGAAAAACACAGAGAAGCTCTGCAGGAGGACAACATATCTTCTGCGTGAGTACAGCTCAACAGTCCGATCCACAGCAAGCCTAAGCTATTTAGAAGATAGTTTTATACAGTGGCTCCATAACATGCAGATCTACTGACTTGAAGCCAAACACAGGGCTTATCAAAGGGCCTCAGACACCACTGCTGTGATGAAGCTGCAGTAATGGTAGCAGAGGGGTTGCACTGCAGTTTCTCAGCCTGTCCCCAAGTTGAAGGATTTCATCCCCCAAACTCTTGCATAGTTCCCACGAGCAGAACCCATTTACTTAGGCTGTAGGCAGAGAACAGAAGTTAGCTCAAAACACACAGAGCATCAATGCAAGAAAGAACACACACAAATAAAGAACCAAATTTAAACTATGCATCTGTAATTTCAATAGACCCTTGTCGTCGGCAGGCGGGATTGAACCTGGGACCTCAGTGCATGAACCTCTATTGCACAAGCTAAAAGCCGTGAGACTCTTACCTAAAGCTGTAGAGCAAACTCATTTTAACTCTCTCTTTAAGTGGTCTCAGTGCCACTAGATGGGACCGAACACCACACCTCAGGAAGTGTGTGGGTTACACATGGAAATATTAACTCATACAACATTAGTATACAGCATGCATATTCATAATGCTGAACAGGAAAATTAAAGAACTATACAAAACTATAACCATTCTACAATGAAACTAAGAATAAGTAATTAAATATACCATATACTCCAACAGTAAAAGGCTGTGGTGTGGATTTGCAATACACTGTTATGAGCTGGGTGAAACCTTGTCATGGATTGGGTTTGTGAACTCACCCTTAACTTAACATAACTGTCAGCATTAGCCCCACTTAAGACAAAGGATGCATGTCTGAACCCACCCCTGAGTTTTTGACTGAGTATTGTTTTGGGTAGATATGGAGGTAGTGTGTGTGCGGGGGGAGATAAGAACATAAGAATGACCATACTGGGTCAGACCAATGGTCCATGTACCCCAGTATCCTGTCTTCTGACAGTAGCCAATGTCAGATGTTTCTGAAGGAATAAACAGACAATCATCTGAAGAAGTGAGGTTTTTACCCACGAAAGCTTATGCCCAAATTAATCTGTTAGTCTTTAAGGTGCCACCAGACTCCTTGTTGTTTTTGATCCATACCCTGTCATCCACTCCCAGCTTCTGGCAAATAGAGGCTAGGGACACCCAGAGCCTGGAATTGCATCCCTGACCTACCCTCCATGAACTTATCTCATTCTTTTTTTAACCCTGTTATAGTTTTGGCCTTCAGAACATCCCCTGGCAACGAGTTCCACACAAACATTGAGAACAAGTAAGAACACAGAGAGAGAGTGAGAGGCAAGAAAGCCAAGCAGGAGTCTATAGGTACAGTGGGACCCTGGAAAAAGCTAGCGAGAGAGAGAACGCTTTTGGCTCTGACATTAGTTAAGAGGCTGGGGGTGGTAAGCTAAGAAACTGATCCTTTTGTTCTTGGTTCCTTCTGCATTCAGAGACAGGCCTTCTCACATTCCTTGTAAATAAACAAGATTGCACCAAAGAAAATACCAGACTCAATCAATTCTACTTTGAACAGGAACATCCCTGGGGTCTCAAACTTTGACTAGCTTCTCAGTTCGAAAAGGGGCAACAATACTTGGTGGATGGGACTGTTTCTGAATCTACTTCCCCTTTGAACACTGCACTGCCTTATCTGTCTAGTCAGAAAAGCACAGTTTGCCAATATCCTTGAAAGAAACACAGTTGACAGGGACATAATTTAATATTCATGAAGTACATAGTTTCAATTTCTATAATTAGTGACGTTCAGAAAATACCCCTGGTCACTTTTCGCCAGTCCCCTACAGTTTCGCCTTCCCCATTCCTCCAAATGGTCTCAGTCAATAACATGGAAGCACTGCTTGGGGAATGGCTGCCCTTCTGTCCCAGGTCTTTGAATGTTCCAAGCTGTGTAACTTTAATCCCATTCCCTTTTGCCTCTCACCTACAGCCAGAAGTTTATTTTCCTTTTCTTGAGCAACTTGTTGTCGTCCTCCATAAGCCCCAACGTCTTGACAATCTTTAAAACATATTTTATTAGGGGAAAAAAGAAGAAAAAAATCAAATAAATGTAAAGTTAGACTTCAGATTTTCAAAGACATCTAACTTCCATTAAAAAAAATCAATGGAAATTAGGGCCAATTTAACATAACTAATTTCAAGACTATGCTGTTTCTTAAGTATGATGCTTCATATAGTTACAAAAGGATAAAGCTTAAAGTAGTTTGTATGAATATTTCTATCCCACTGCTGACAAGTCCCTCCTGAGAGCCGGAATCATATCTTGTGTCAGTACAGCTCCTCCCATTTTGTCTATGTCAATACAGCTTCTCCCATTTTGTCTTATGGTTGCTTTTTATTTGGACATTGTTAGGTGTGGTAAAAAACATTATCCTTTTGACTACTATGTCTTATATAAATACACACAATTAACATTTATATGTTTTTTCTTCTCCCAGAATGAAGTGTTAATATGGACTTAAAAAAACATATAATCATATTAAACCACCTCTCCATCTACCCTTCAGAACATTTAGCTTTTCCCCTTTTTAATCTGTGTGTGACATCTCCACATTCATATACATATTTGTCAATTTTGATTTCTCTTGTATGGTACTCAGTTTATCACAACTGATGAAATGTTTTCCCTTTCAAACTTTTTTTTTTTAAATATATAACTGGAAGGGACCCTGAAAGGTCATTGAGGCCAGCCCCCTGCCTTCATTAGGCAGGACCAAGTACTGATTTTGCCCCAGATCCCTAAGTGGCCCCCTCCAGGATTGAACTGACAACCCTGGGTTTAGCAAGCCAATGCTCAAACCACTGAGCTATCCCTCTTCCTCCTTACCTGGACTGTGAATTCTACATGTGTTTCTTACCAGCCACCTAATCATGTATCATTCAGTGGGGTGTATAACTAACAACAAATTTCTGTCCTGTGTCATAGCTAGTCATGGTTGAAATTTTTCATTTTATGTGGAAAATGTTGAATTTTGTTTAAAAAAGTAAAAATGGAAAAACAAACAAACAGAAATTGACATTCTTGTTTTTCCGCCTGAAAACAAAATAATTTCATCTGAATAAAAATGGAAGTTTTAGTTCAATTGTCTCACCCTCACTTTTCTCCTCTCTGAGCCAGGCTCCTTGGCTGGACTACATCTCCTATGATGCACCATTACCAAGGATTCCCATGATGCACCACAACTACACAGCAGGAAGAGAATCTACAGCTCATTCAAAGCAAGGGAATTTTGCACACAGAAGAGAATGGAGTCATGAGGCAACCAAACTACCACTCCCATGAGGCACCACACTGGCATTTTCAAATTAAAAAAGGGGTTTTCAGGTAAAAGTTTTCTGGTTTTGATTTTTTTGCTGAAAAGTCAACATTTTCCATGGGAAAAACCCAAACATTTTCTGAACAGATCTAGCTAAGCCAATGTAATGCCAGTTAAGTCAGCGAGGTTGTAACAGAGACCAGAACACAGCTATACTTTACTCAAAGACCATTTCACGATTGTTTTTTGCTTGCATCTAGTGCAGCAGCAATAGCATGTGGCAAAGACAATACATTTAAATAGTATACATATCCATGCACAGTTTGAGCATCCTGCTTCTTTATCAAGGCAGCGTATCTGGGTGTCCTAAATGGTGCTCCAGATGTCAGGTTGGGCACTCTGCCATCACACGAATTATTGTCTGTGGCCCTCTCCCACAATCACAGCGTGGGGAGGAAATCAGGCCAAGCCAGTGGATGGCTGCAGCATTTCTGGTCAAGCCAAAGAGTAACTAGCTGTGCATGGTCTATGATCACAAGGGCCAGAAATTTACCACAGAAAGCTTGGTAGACATCATAGAGGTTGTTTTCAATTTCTGATTCTTAGTCTTTACCCACAAAATACTCCAACTTAGTTTGGATCAGATCCTACTTTGCTTTCCAGAAATTCCATGGAGGTTTCTGGAGGCCGCATGTAACTAGAATTTCTATATCTGTTGTAAGGCTTCATTGATGCTGGGATAAGGGAAAAATATCAAGTACTTTATGCTGTATTACTAGTGAAGGATGCCGTTGAGTTGTTGAAAAGGCGAGGTCAGGCAAATAAGCCAAAGGTCCATCTGCTGCTATGGAAAGTGGGTGGCTGTTTGACACCCGCTCCTCTAGCCTTACTCCATCCACATCATCACCAAATTATCCAACGGTAATTATGTGAATTAAATATCAGAGGGGTAGCCATGTTAGTCTGGTTCTGTAAAAAGTGACATACAGTCCTGTGGCACCTTATAGACTAACAGACGTATTGGAGCATAAGCTTTCGTGGGTGAATACCCACTTCGTAAGACGCATGCTCCAATACGTCTGTTAGTCTATAAGGTACCACAGGACTCTTTGTCGCTTTTTATGTGAATTAAGTAATTACAGTAGTCTGAAGGTTCTTAGGTGGGTAAGACAGAAGTTGTCCAGTAGAGAAAAGTGAAGCTTAAGTAGACAAAATGCAAAGTCAGAGCTTGTGTTCTCTTTGTAAAAATGATGAAAAAAAACCCACAAAAGACAAATACAGCCCAAAGAAGTTGTCCTCGAATGAGGTTCTCTCCAGGGCCAGTGTCACAAACCTTGTGTTGAGGTCAGCTCTCAAGATGGTGCACTTCAATATTGAGGGAATCTCAGCAGCCAAGAGGGACATCCTCCTCCAGTTCACTGTAGAACATGAAGAATACATCATTTTACTTCAGGACACACATTCTATCACTGATGCTTAACTATCAACTCCAAGCTGTGTTGTTGTGTCTCACCTCCATCACAGGCAATACAGGCTGTCATCCTAAGGCAGAGAGGGTATTCCAGCAACTCTAGTCTAATCATTAGGTCTGTGATGGGGTGTACTCCCCCCACTGGCCCTGAGAGGGTAAATTAGGCCCAATTAATTGCCCAGTTGCACCTGCAGGAGGAGCGAAGGAGCAAGGAATGATTCATTAGACACAAGGCTCAACTGGGCAGGGACAGGTGGGGACTATGGAAGCCAGGAAGCTGGCAACAGAAGGGCTGTAGGCTGCAGTTGCTCCCTGGGAAGAGAAAGGAATGTTAGAACTATAGAGTGTTGCTCCATGGGAGGAGGGAGTTGGGAGGCTGGCAAATCCAAAAGGGGGGGGGGGGAAATCAGGAAGGTAGGAGGAGGCTCAGGGGAATAGCAGCAAAAAGGAGTGCAGGCCTTGGCTGTTAACAGGAGGGTCCCGGAGCTGGAACCCAGAGTACAGGGCGGGTCAGAGTTCCCCTACCAGCCACTGGGGACATGGCATCTACCAGGCAGAGGACATTGGAGTGCCTGGGATGATTTGTTCTGGGAAAGACTGTTACACACACCCTTCCCCAGAAGGGGGAACCATGGAGTGACCTGCCCAGAGGGCTGAATCACGAAGAAGAGGCTGCAGTTACTGGTGCAAGAGGGGCTGAAGGATGAGAGGATGATGGGAGAGACACCGTCAGAGGAGGGCACAGCACCTGGCAGAACTAATTCCCAGTACAGCCAGAAGGAGGTGCAATCTGTGATGAGTGAACCCCCTTGACAAGGTCCAAATGATGTTACTGAATTTCAGCCTATAAAAGTGAAGGATCTGATTCTGATCAACGTCTACAAACCTCCCCACTGCAGTATCTTCAGTGGACTCTACAACATTCCAAAGGAGGCACACACTTACCCAGGCTGGTGAAGAACCTGTTCTATTGCATCTTCCTCACCTCTGAGTTGGCCAGCTTCATTAGCAGGGATTCACTTTGGGTTCTGCCTATCTATTACCACTGTTGTGAGCTGCCTCCTCCTGCTGCTACTTGGCATTAGATAAGATGCGATGGGAGACAGGTAAGTGATTCATGCATGCTAAGAAAGAAAAGTGGTTCCCAGGTTGCAGAGGGTGGGAATAGCAGGATAAGCCTGGTCAGTTACTGAAAAACTGGCTAGCCATGATGAGGTAAGGAGTTATTCTTCTTGCATTCTTTAAGAAAGACTCACCCATATAGCAAAAATACAGTTTACATTGTTTTTCTCAATTTGTTTTAATGTAAATTGTAAGGGTCAAATATTGACCTCAAACATGGGCTCTCATTGACTTCAAAGGGAAAGGAACCTGAGCATCTCAGACACTACCATTTTATGCTTGGTGACTTACAGGATTGCACATACTACATAAGCTATGTTACCAAAGCTCTTTAGAAAAGGCTATTCCATTGATCACAAGAGAGAAATGATAGAAATGGTAAAGCAGGGAATGGTAGTGCACATTTACCACTTTAAAAGGTTGCAGGCCATGTGCTTAATTCAAGAAGCTAGACAGTAAATAAAATAATCTGCATATTAAAATAAAGTTTATTTGGCAGTAAACTGATGAACTTAAAGAGTACAGTGAACCATGTGCCTTGTAAACATATTAAACCAAAAATCTCTGTTGATCATGGTGTGTCTTAGGAACACACAAGCAAAAAAAATGCAGAGGCAAGGATAAAATTTATCATGCATGCAGAACACAGAACCTATTGTTTCAAGACATGTTCAGTACTAGTAGTGTGAGGTAAAGACTTTGATAATAGCTTGTCTTCATAGACAGACCTTATATACAATTTAAAATTTATATTTTAAATGGAAGAACAGGAGGACTTGTGGCACCTTAGAGACTAACAAATTTATTAGAGCAT